AAACATTAAACATTAGAATTTGTATTTAAAAGCAAAGCAAAATCTTAAGTTGAAGACAATGAAAGATTCTTACATTCTTGGCTTTAGAGCCACCGTTGGATTTTCTCCAAAGAATTATTAAAGAATTAGAAAAGAATTAATGCTGATGTGAAGCATCTGTAACAAAACATCAAACATTATATGTGCTTTTGCCATTAATATTAAATTTGGAAAAGTAAATAAATTGGGATGCAATATATAAAACTACTTACCACCTTGATCTCCTGGAAAGGCCTTATCCTCTTGAACACTGACTCTAATATACCGAAAACGAATGTTGAATAAAAAAAGAAAAATAAAAGTCTAGCAGCAATTGGCGGACTCACTGACTCTGACTTCGTGAATTATAATTTAAATGAATTAATAATTTAATTTAATGAGAGCTATTTTACTCAGAAAAATACTAAAATATTGTGCAACAAACACTGACTCTACCGACCGCATTGCGCGCGGTCACTAAAATTTTCTGAAAATAAAACTAATTAGAAGGAAAAGATCAAAAAAGGGATTTAGAAAATAGTGCTATTTTTTTTTGAAAATGATTATAAACTTGAGTATGCAGTAAAGATATTAGTTGAACATCACAAAATATTTCTCAATATTGGCAGAAATATTTGCACAACTTGATTTTAAATGTTCGTTATTAAAATATAAAATATGCGTATCAATAGTATATCACGTCGCAAGTTATAAATATTCGAAAATGTTGGATGATTGGATGATTCTTCTGGGTAATACTTTCTTTAAGGATGAGGTGTGCTTCTTTCCGCCATGCTTTCCGCATGAAAATCGATCGTGAGAAATATCGATTACGTTCGAGAATCGTAGGAAATGTATTCTGTATTTCACCGTTGGCGCTGTAATTATATTAAAAATACAAAATATTCGACTGATACATATTTAAGATATTATTTATTATTAAATACAGTTTATCATTATTAAATGTACATAATTATTTCTTAATACAATAAATTTATAAAAATTATAACTTTGAGAACCTGTTATTAAAATTTCAAATATATTTCATACTAATAAAATATGGCGTCTCTGTTAATTAAACGAACCTGCGCAGTGTGGGATGCCCAGAATGCAACGCCATGTTTAAACTCGTATAAACTTTATCTAAATTGTATAAATTTGTAATAAATTAAATATTACCATACCTTGACGAAAAACTCTTGAATTTATTGTTATTGTGGCAATTTTTCGAATTTCGATGGAGTCCCTCCAGTATTTGTGGAATTTTTCTCGTAATCAAGTAATAAGCTATAAAAAAAATTTTCAGTTATATAAATTTTCAAATATATAAACATAATATATAAAATATATGAAAATAACAAAAAATTAACAATAATTAAAGTCAAGTTTCGTTTATAATACCAATCATTAGCAAATGTGATGAATCAAAAAAGACGATCAAACAGAGAAAGAAGCAAAGAAAAAATTTAGTCATAAATTACAATAATATTCAATAAATTATTAAGAACGTACATTAATTAAACGAAGTTCGTACTGCCAATTCAATGAATGGATGATGAAACAATTATAATGAAAATAGTATTATATAATTAATAAAATTTGCTGTGCAAGATAACACGTCTTAACAATTTGATGGCCGACAATAGACTATTCTAGGCGCAAGAGTAAACAGAAGGAATGGAGAGGGGGAGGGGGCAAACTCGCGCGATAATTTTGCAAAGCAAAGTTCTACACGAATTTTTGAACAGTATATATAGCATATTTTACATACATTTATAAATAAATATTTATATGATTTAATTTAATCGAACAAAATTGATTAAACAGATGAATTATTAATATAAATAAAAATTTTTACGCGGAACACAGTTACACTTTCAATAGAAAATGTTAATTATATATTATTTGAATTTTACCAAAATTTTTATACTCTTTCCTTCCCAATATGTGTATGCAAATGTTTGTCCAGAAAAGTATTCAAAAATGCTTCCAATAAATCGAAACTCTTTGAAAACATACACTTTAAATGCACTACGTATGGAGAATCGCGTTTATAATGGCGACTTCTTCATAGAAACAATAAATGTTTTTAATCAAAATCAAGAGATGGCGCCACAATCGAAAATTTACGCGGGAAACGCAGTACAATATGTATATGCGTGCGTTCGTGTGTGTGTGTATGTGTGTTATATATCATTTATTACTAAAATATAACAAAATTTAATTTACTTCAAATTTAATGATTGAATAAAAAAAACTATTCTGTTCAATTGTTTACAATTCTGATTACAGTGTAATCGGACACTGTATTATAGCATATACAATGACACTGTATTATGATATACAATATATACATAATACACTGAATATTCAATAGAACTTTGTCTGTATGAACTTTATTTGTTTGAAATGAATTTTAATTAAATTTAAATTTAAATTAAACTTTAATTTGTAATTGTAAAGATTGATTTAAATTAATTCCCTTAATTATTTTGCTTAATTTAATTTAAAAGCGATAAGGTAATATTATGTAATCTGACTATATGCATTGCATACAATATAGAATAAAATCTTGCATTGCAGCGCTGCTAGTAATAGGAATAGTAATCGAACAATATGGATGGTGTTGACACTGAAAGTTATCTGTTGAATTTAACGTGATGTTCATTTCGTCAATTGCGTGATTATTTTTGAGAGATGACTAATAATCAGCTTTTTGACTACGATAGAGGTAATTATATTATTATTATATAAGTATTCAGTATATGTCAAATTATAAATTAAAACTTAGC